TTTGGCGGTCACCAGAATGGTGGTCGAGTAGATCGTGTTGTGCGGGGTGGAGGACCCTCACTCCGCTCAAGGGGGGTGATCGCACCACGTTGTGTTAAAATGGTCAAGCACCCTCGAGGCAGTTACACAGTGCTTACAACTGTCTCAGGAAGTGAAAGCACCAGAAATATATGAAGTCATACGCAGCTGACATCCGTACGCAAGGAAGTAAGCACAAGATGCCGAACACCCTTAGCAGGATGCAGCGCACCCTTCATGCGACTCGCCGAATATCTTACGGCGCTTCGCGCTTGGTGATGTGAGAGCCTGGTCCGGTGAGAACCCGGCGTGCTCCGTCCCGGCTTTGTAGGGATGCGAGGTCAATGGTCTAACGACACGGCATGCACGACTATGAGTACACCCCCCTCCCGCCCTCGCAGGACGATGATGGCACGGCGACAACGGTCCCAGGAGGGGGAGCGTTGGTAGCCCGAACCCCTCGCCACCTCGTGCTCCAGGACCGCATCCTTGCTGGGAGGACCGGCGAAAACGCCGGCGCCGCGTGCGGCTTGGCCGTGCTCCAGGGAGTGGGCGGTGGGGCGGGGGGGGATGCCGCGGAGGCGGCAGCCGCCCCGCCGCCGGTGGTGCTGGCGGTGGCGTACAGGGAGGGGTGGGTGGACATCGCGCTGGTGCCGGCGGGCGTCAGTCCCAGGTGGGATGCGTAAACACACAATAGAAGCAGTAGTTTTTATCGTGCTTCCGTTGTGTAGTTTTGGTACATTCCGCGGGTCGGAGTCAAGCACTCGCCGGTGCATGTTTAGTTAGCGGCGTCCAAGTATTTTATTTCATCAGCTGTTCCCTTCGTCACCGGTATCCACCGCCTCCCTGTCGCCAGGAAGCGGACGTGTCACCACCCCGCCCGCGTCCCCTCCGCTCAAACTCCCGAGACAAAACACTTCCCGGGCCCACTCTCACCCACCACGACAACGTGAATCAACAACACGACTCACGTGAATCGACCTGCCTATATCATGTGTACCACCCACAGGTGGTCCGAACGCGCCGGCCAGCGCGTCTCGTGCGCCGCCGCCGCGGCCGGGGGGGCGGAAGAGACATCGGGGGCCGTCCTGGAGAGCCTGGATCTGGCCGAGCGCGTGGAGGACAAGACCGCCAGGAGGAGGCAGGGACTATCGCTCTCGGCGGGGGGGTCGGCGTCGTGGACGCTCCTGGCCGCCACGCCGTGCAGGGTGGTCTCTGTCACGGTGAAGTGGGCGGGTCGCATCCAGAGGGCGACGGAGCGCGCGAGGGAGGTGAGTGTGTCTGTGTGCGTGCTTTTATTATTAGCATCGACCGCGATAACCGGCTGACCAATGAAAAGACGTCAAGTCTCAGTGTGCGTGTGTGTGTGCGTTACTGTTGGTATCCACGGCTAACCATTGAAAACGTGTGTCGGAGGGAATGGGGGGGGGCGTAGTTACGCTGCTGCCTTGTAGCTGTTAGAACACGCGTCCTCGAGAGGTCGGGGGGGGGGGGGGGNGGGGGGGGGGGGGGGGGGGGGGGGGGGGGGGGGGTGGTCTGTCTGTCTGACGACTCTTTACCCTCTCCGGAGAGCGATAGCTTAGCGCCTTGTAGGGCGGTGCCATGTTGAAGTACCTCAAAGTCTGTTGGTTGTCTCTTTGGTCTGGAATTGTGCCCTCCTCGTGATGTTTGTGCGGTCCGGCTGTCCTCCTGCCGTGTGCGGCGTTTCGTTCGAAATTTTTATTTTCGACCTGCGTGAGGCGACGTCCGTCGCATCCTGCGCAGATAGCTAAATAGCTACCTCTGCCGTGCCTCTGGTCGTATCCGTTCGGCGATGAATAGTCGGGTGTTTCCCGTTCCTCTTGGCGTGTGGCGTGGTGATCCGTCTGCCCTTCCCCGATGTCCTGATTTTACCCTTTGCGGGTGTAGCTCACCGAAGGGTAAGCGAGTTGTCCTTTTTACGTTTGTAGCTCTCTCTCTCTATATATATATATATATTCTGCCTGTCTTTGGTGTATCTGTCTTGACGGTCCTAGACCTGATCTCCTCCGCATCGTCCAGACTACCTCCTCCTCGACTCGCTGCCGTATGTTCCTAGTGTCCAACCTTGCTCGTGGTGTCGTCACTTCTATCTTGCGTCTGCCCCTTGCGTGCCTACCGTGTCTGCGCCTCGTTCGTCTGCCTCTCACCCTCGTCGCCACTGCTTTCCCCACGCCGGAGTTCCTCTGCCATACCTCCAATGATCAACCCGCCCTGTTTTTGCCCCCCGACTCCCTCACGTCAATGAAGCGCGCCGCCCAGGATCGACCGGGAACGAGCAGCAGTTCCGGCAGCGGCCGCCTGGACGGAGATCTGCGAGCGGTGTTGCGCGAGCGGCCGGACTCCCAAGTCAACGAGGTTCTCTTTGTGCCCCGTTGCTCGTCCGGGCGTATCGTAGGGGTTGTCCCCGTCGACAGTCCCATCGTCGGGCACTTGGCGATGGCGAGGCTGGCCGGGGGGCATGTGGAGATGGTCAACGTGGGCGTCATGACCCTGCAGGTGAGCATGTCTTGTGTCTGTGTCTTTCGACGGGGGGAAGGGAGTTCGTTTTTCGTGCAGCCGTGCTGATGTTCAGCTTGGTATTGTGGAGCTTGGGGTGGTTTCGCTTGTTTTCGTCGTTCAAGGAGGGGCGTGTGACTAAAACTAGGTTATGTGCCCCCGAAAGCGTTGTTGTTGTTGCTGCTGCTGCTGCTGCTGCTGCTGCCAAAAGGTGATGGTCACCGAAGCTGTTGTTGGTGTTGAACGCGCTTTGGTATCGCACTTGGCTGTTGGTACAGCATCGCTTTTCGTGTGCCGCTGTGGGAGGGCTAAGGGCCAAACGTGTTGTCGTACCGACAGCCAGCGTCAACTGCCGTTGCAGGACTGGCGTGTGCGAAACCTTCGTGATTTTCTCGCACCTTTTCTCCCCGACGCCGTCCCTAACAAGACGCCTTGCTTTTCCGGCCCGCTGCGCCTGCTTCGTGCTGCTTGTGGGCCGGACACATACTACAGGCCACAGAGGTTGCCTCCGCCGCGAAACGCGCGGAAGCCCAGGACACGCCGGGGAGAGGGGACATGCTTCCCCGCTTTGAGGTAGGGTGATGCGTTTGCCCAGGTGTAGATGTTTTACATGTAGATGTAGCTGATGTGCCGCGTGTTGAGCCGACGTACCGCCTCTGTTAGTTTGTGACGTAGTCGATGCGCCGCAGAATGCAGTGCTGCAGGTCAAGTTGTTAGCCCATTAACGGTGCGCTCTTATTCTACGTAAATCTCTCTCTCTCTCTCTACCTCCTTCGCCCTCGCCCCCTCCCCTACCACGCCCCAGGCGGCGTTGCAAAAGGCGAAGAAGGACATCGGCGAGCTGCAGGCCAACAGACCCTTGGCATTGGCGGTGGGCCACCTGAAGATGTCCCAGCTTGACCAGAATGGGGTCCGCGTTGTCGAGGAGCAGGCCGACAGGCTAGTCGACGGCGGCGTAGTCGTGTTAGAGAAGCTGCACCTCAAGGTAAGAAATTCTACGCACGGTGCGCCGTCATGTTGTTCTTGTGGGTTACAACAGCGGTGTTAGTTTTTTTTTTTTTTTCTTCACTTCATCACATCAGCGCTCACAGCACTGGTGCCGTTTACTCCATCCCGTGGCCAGCCACACAGAAGAGCGCCTCTCTACCCTCCCTTCCTGCGGCACTTTGCCTTCGATTTTTAATGCGAGAAGAGTTCAGCACTCTCTTCCCTCTGTGTACACACGAACTAGCGCTATCCTAGGCCAGGAACGGAAGCGAGAAAAAAACTCACTTTGCAAGAAAATCTCGCTGACACCGGGATTCGAACCCCCAACCTGACCTCTAGCAGGTTTCGAGGATACCAACTAGACCACCGGGGCTGTATGGAAACGAAACAGTGGCGCGGCGTTAAGGTGACGGGAGGGGGG